GCAAGTTTTGCATCAACAGATGCAAAATCTAATTTTGAACTATTATTTTAGCATCTGTGCTGATTTTAGTATTCTCTGTATATGTCTTTGATAGGAGCTAGAGGAGTTTTACATAGAAATTTAAGCAATCAAATAGTTTATTTCAAGAATACCAAACAACACAACTCAAATACATAAAGAATATGTACATACAATTCAAGAGGTAGGTGGTCTCTTACAAACCCTAACTTTGTAACTTACAATTTGAGAGGTAGACAATATCTCTCAAACATCAATCCTAAGACTCAAAATAACAATCTCATAACATAGCATAACCTAGCTCTAAATATATAGTTCCATTTATACCTCATACGATAATAACAAACAAATGACTAAATTGTCCTTAAGCGCCCGTCTAACAATCCTCTCCTTCCAAAAAGACACTTTGTCCTAAAGGTGAAAAAAAGAAGAAACTGCTGTTGAATCACATTGTATGGGTCCCACTCATAAACCAACTTGAGTATGACTCTCATTATAAGCATTTGATTGAAATAAGTGATGGGTCGTTGACAATGCATGAGGACTGCACCTAATTCATAGCATGAAGCATTCGTTTCTACAATGAAAGGTCGGCAGAAATCGAGTAATGACAACACTGATACACTCGTCATGATTATCTCTTACTTATCAAAAGCCTAGGTCTCTGCTTTCCTCCCCTGAAAGCTATCATTGTTCAATTTCTTCATTAATGGCCACACAATTGAATTGCAACCCTTTACTATATTCTGGTAGTATCTTGTAAGTCCCATAAATCCTCCCAAACCCTTCACAGTCGTAGGTGGCAACCACTCCAACATTGCCGGGATGGACCTGCTGATACCAATGTCCTGCAAAATGAGTGTCATTGCGAACCACCACATTGTCTCCCACCTGATTGCTCTGTATTGTCAAAATCAGTCTCTTACAAACTCCACTGCTCTTCTCCAACAATCCCATTACCATCATTACTCTTGAATTGCCTCCCGTTTAGAAGGATGTCACAACAAAAGGCACTGACACTGTTGGATGCAATCTTCTGATGGGGTGCCACCCATCATGTTTCTTTGTTCCATGTTAAAATCCTTCGAAACGATCTTTTCCAGCCTCAAATTGCACGTCGTCTTGTTCCGCATTTTGCTACTCTTTCTAAACGACCATATGTTGTGTCATTTTCTACAGATTTTGTTGCTCAAATCCACTTTTGATTCCTTTGCTCAATCTCACCTGCTTTGTTCATTTCAGTCGTTCAGATGTCACACTATTCTTTCCAAGTACCGCCACTTGAATCCATTCTTGACTCCTCTTAATCCCACTCGCTTACGTTCGTTTCAGCTGTTCGAATGTCAATCTATTACTTCCAAGTGTTGCTGCTCAAGTTTGCTCCTGATTTTTTTGCTCGATTCTGCGGCTCCAGATCTGCCTAAGGCATCAACACTTCCTTGATGCCAAACAAATCCCTTAGTTTGCTACTCGTGTTCTTTCCCAATGTCATCGCTCGATCCCACAAAGGCAGAGGCGATCTTGTGTGAAACTACATGATCTTTTTCATTATTTCTTCTAGGTTCATGAATTTCTCATCCATGTACGAGAAACACCTCATTTTAGATTTGATTTGACTCGGTTTTCCTCCAATTTTTATCCAAATCATCTACCTTTTTGGCCCCCTTTACTCCTAAGAAGATTTTTTATCACAAAGGCAGGAATTTGTACGCTTGTGGGCATACTCGGTAGTTCGAATCACGAATGTATCGCATGGTTCGATCATTGTACATCGCAATCCCCTCTCCAGATTGAATGGAGTGATCTCTTCATCTGCATGTCACAATCTTGTCGTTTGTACATTGCTATCCCATCGTACACTTTACTAGTTCAAATTGAGCAGTGGCTTTATCACGTGGGTTCTTCATGAAAGCGCAACTTAGACCCCTGTATGCCGCCACAATTGCTTCCAGAGATCAAAGGCTTTGATGCCAATTTGATATGAAACATAAAGTATATTATTTAAACATAACATTTTTTAACCGAAATTATGACAACCAAATATATTATTTAAAAAATAACAAGTAACACAATGCAAAAAACATAAAGTATAACAACTACAATTTGAGAGGCGGGTGATGTCTCTTAAACCTTAACTCTAACGCGTATAATATGAGAGGTAGGATATCTCTCCCATATCTTAATCCTAAGACTCAAGATAACAATCTCATAGTATAACATAATCTATCTTTCAATATATTAGCCTTATTTATACCCCACATAATAATAACTAACTAATTACTAAGGGTCTGTGTGGGGCAATTGCAACTTATTAAAAAATAGTTGTGAAGTTGCTGAATAATAATCTGATGTTTAAATATCTGTGGTGGTTATTATAATTTTTTTAAAGTCAGATCGCAGTTAGAAATCTGCCACCGCACCTAGCCAGAGGTAGTGGGAAAACACAAGTTTTAGTGACAGTTTTTTGAAAAAGTTATCAAATCGCAGTTTACCCAAACAGACAAAACCGCGATACGGTGCCGCACCACTATCGTACCGCCACCCCAAAAGGTCTCTAATTGGCCTTAGGTGTCGGTCTAACAATACTACCATAAAAAAAAAAATCTTGTCCTCAAGGTAAAAAAAATCTTGTCCTCAAGGTGGAAAAAAAAAAACTGTTGTTGGATCATGTTATATGAGTCCCACCCATAAACATACTTAAATTTGGCTCTCTCAATCAAAACTTGATTTAAATAAGTGATGGGTCATTGACACTGCATGAGGGCTGCTCCTAATCCATAGCCTAAAGCATACGTCTCTACAGTAAAAAGTTGGTTGAAATCAGGTAACGTCGGCACTGGTACACTCGTCAACACCATCTTTGAATTCTCAAAAGTTTGTGTCGTCTCTTTTCCCCGCTGAAAGTTATCATTCTTTAATTTCTTCATCAACAGTTGCACAATCAAATTGCAACCTTTCAATAACTTTTGGTAGTATCTTGTTACTCCCAGAAATCCTCCTAACCCTTCATGATTTTAGGTAGTTGGCACTCCCGACACCTTCGATGGATTGACGACACCATGGTCCTGTACAATCGAGGTCATTGCGAAGCACCACAATCTTGTCTTCCTCCTGAATACTTTGTACTGTCAAAATCAGTTCCATATAAACTTCCCTGCTCTTCGTCACTTATTATGTTCTCATCATTACTCTTGAATCGCCTTCCGCTGGAACACTTCGTTAGTAAAAATCACTGGCGTAATTAGATGCAGCCCTTCAACGGGGTCCCACCCACTGTGGTTCCATGTTCCAAGTCGAAATTCTTCAAAGTGATCTTCTCCAGCCCCGAAGCGCACATCGTCCTGTTCTATCTGTTGCTATTCTTCTAAACCACCATATGTTATTCAGATGTCGCTGCTCGAATCTGCTCCAGACTCCCAATCCCATATGTTTTTGTTTGTTCCAATTGTTCGGATGTCACACCATTCATTCCAAGTGCTGCCACTTGAATCCGCTCTCGACTCCTTCGCTCAATCCTACTTGCTTTTGCTCGTTACATCCATTGAATGTCACATCATTTCTTTCAAGTGTTGTCGCTGAAGTCCACTTGATTCCTTCGGTTGAACCCTTGGCTTCAGATCCTCCTAAGGCAATAACGTTGCCCTGATGCCACACAAATCTTTTAGATTGCTTATGTTTGCATCCTTTCCTAACGCCGTCTCTAAATCCTACGATGGGCGGAGACGATTTTGTGTGAAACTTTATGAGTTTCATCATCATTTCTTCCAGGGCCATGAATATCCCCTCCATTGATGAGAAATGCTCATCCGTTTCATATTTGATTTGACTCACATCTTCCACTAATTTATTCTCCTAATCATCTACTTTTTTGGCCATCATCAATCCCACGAAGATTTTTGATCATCATGAAGGAAGGACTTTGTACGTTCGTTGGCTTCCCCACTAACTTGAATCACGATTGTATCACATGGTACATTCATTGTATGCCGTGATCCCCTGCTAGGTCGAATCTAGCAATCCCATCGTCTATATGCCGCGATCTCAATGTCTGTATGCTATGATCCCGTCGTTTGCTCCGCTAGGTTGAATCGAGTCAACTATGTAGCACGGGTTCTTCACGAAGGTGCAACTTAGACCCTGAACGCCACTGCAATTGCTTTTGGAGATCGAAGCCTTTATACCAATTGTTATGAACCGGAGGAGTTTTCCACAGAAATAAGGGCAACCAAAATTTTTTTTTTCATTAATATCAAGCAACACAACTCAAATATATAAAAGAATAAGCAACTATAATTTGAAAGATAGTTGATCTCTCCCCCTCCCAAATCATAGCCCTAGCATGTTCAACTCGAGAGGTAGGTGATCTCTCCCAAACCCTGATCCTAAGACTCAAGACAACAATCTCATACCATAGTATAACTTAATCCTAAACATATTAGCTATATTTATAACCTCACAATAATAACTAACAAATGATAAAATTGTCTTTAGGGGTTGTTCTAACAGTCTGTTTGATGTATTGACAATGCATCATTTTGTATGTTTTTTACTATTATAACACCAACTTTTGAATGGCGCGCTCAATATCTTTTATAATCTTCATTTTTTTTGGGGCACACAATTCTAATGTATTTGCATGTCTCACAACTAAATTTTCATATTTACATACATAGCACTCAAATCTTTAATATCACAAACAAATAGCACTATTACCCCTTTTTAAAAGTTAAATACTCCTTTTCATACATGGGTTTAAAGCAGTGAAGTGCCATGTATGTAAATATGAAAATTTAGGTGTCAGATATTTAAATACATAAGAATTCTGTTCTAGGTGTGTAAATTTCCCTTTTTTTCATATGTTGATGCATAGTCCTTTCCACGTAGGGGTGTGTAAACCATTTGCTTGGTGTAGGTAAACAAACACGGAATGTTCAAATGCGGTCTTGTGCATGATCCTTACAGAGTAATTACTCTTTTGACAGGGTGTTTATTACTATTTCTATCAAATATTTAGAGACAGGGCAGAACTTGTCTCGCTTGCTCGCCAAAGGAAAGGTATAGGAGATGGATCTCTTGGAATGCTCCAATCACTTGTTGTTGCTTCTCTAGCTGGGTGATTAACTCTAACATGAAACTGCTTTTTCTAATTAGTGTTAATTTAAGGGGCATTTACGTACTTACGCCCAATTCTTATGTATTTACGTATCTAACACCTAAACTTTACCTCTTACCTTTATACCACCCAAATTACTGCCATCTTAACTTTTAAAAAGTGACATACTTTTTCATGTATAGGTAAGGTGGCATGTATGTAAAAGTTGAAGTTTAGTTTAAAAAATGTAAATTCATAGGATTTTTGAGTGATTTTTATGTAAAGCTTCCTTAATTTAAAAATTTCGCACGCTACTAATTTCTCCAGCACGCTCATCGGTTTAGTTCGTTATCATGAATGATACTTATTTTGAGGCTTCTGTGATGCAGATCAGTGAACGTATTATTGACAAATCCAATATGGGTAATAGTTACACGCATGCAGGTAGCATTAAAATCTTGCTAATTTTCCCTTTCTGAAATAAATTTTTATATTGTTACAAGCTTAAAGTATAGCTTGATGCATCTATTTCTTAATAGACATTTAAGAAAAGCAAGGAAGCAATACAAAAGCATGATCTGCCGACAGTTTCTAATGACCTTCAAAACGTGACTACTGAACCTTCCCACTATGGAATGCTTGATGTGGTATGTATTTTTGTTCTTTTACTTTTAAATACTGAACGAATGGTTTATCATCATAAGCATAAATTCTATACATTAGGCCACCTTTCTATGGTTTACCGGTCACCGAAATTTGAATCATTTTGCTGCACAAGTTTTTTTATTTAAATAATATGATGCAGGGACTTGTTGTTCGAACCAAGAATTTGGTTTTTAGGTACAAATGACAGTTTGATTCTTTATCATTCTATATTTCATTCTTGTTCACTTTGTTTTTTAATTTATCAGCAGATCAGTTTTTTTCAGAATACATTTATTTTAGTTTCTTGTTCGAAATTAATTTGTTTTATTTCTTAACTTGTACAGATTAGAGAGCTATATAGTGAGGCGGGCTTAGTAGGCTTATGGAAAGGTGTAATTCCAACGCTCATAATGGTTGGTAAATGTTAAGCCTTATAAAGTTTATGCTAAATGACAAATCTCTGTGATGTGGTTTGAATGACTTTATTACCATATGCTTCACGAGCTAAGATCTAGGATATTCATAATTTCATTATATTTTTCTTTGGGAAATTTACATATATCAGACGATTCTTATGTATTTACATATCTAATACCTAAATTTTAATATTTATATTTATAAGACTTTGGTGTCATAAAACTATGCATGAATATTTATTTTATTTTTAAAAGTTTGTAATAGTGACATTTTTTAAAGCAATATTAAATATTTTAGTGTTGTGCATGTAAATATGAAAGTTTACGTGTTAAATATGTATATACATAAAAATTTTGTGTTATGTATGTAAATGCCTCTTTCTATTTATACTCTTTGATTTTTTTCTTCAAATTAACATTTAAGGTCTCAGTTAGAGATGATTGTAACAACTGGCTAGTTTTGTGAACAGAGAAGTAATGACCCCTGCATACTATATTTTGAGCTTGGAACCAAATATTTCAAGTTTAGCCATACCTTCTTCCATTGATTTATTTTGAAAAGTGTTTGTATATGAATCAAACAAATGATTGCTAAGTATACAATATATTTATGTATACCTTCTTCCTATGATTTATTCTGAAAAGTACTTGTATATGAATCTAAGAAAATGATCGTTAGGTAAGGTAGGTGATAAAAGGCCTTAGAAATTTTTTTCCTTGAATTTAAAGGAGTAAATAAGAGTTAAAAGGAAATCTTTTTAAAAATTTTTAGTTTGATGTTGCATTTTGTCTTATAGATGGAACATGACTGTAGTAGAAGCTAATAAAATTGGCAGGATGATTAAAATCTATGATTTCTTCAATGAAAATTGTGGTGTTACATTATCATTTTGAATTTTGAGGCATGAATTTCACATTTTGTGTTTTAGTTAGGGTTTTTATTAACCGTCGTTTTTTTCATGAGTACAATTTTGAAGTTGGATTTGGGTGTTGAATTTACATATACTAGGGTGTTACCTTTCTTTCAATGTATTGTGTTACCTGTAGGTCAATAATAATCCTCTACCATCTTACGCCTCGAAGGTGAATCAACCATAATACTAGTGCAAATCTTCATTGATGGTGTATTAATTTACAATTTTATTCATTGCCTTATCAATTTATTAAAACTACCAATTTAATTAAATGCTTTAGAGGTTTATTGTGTCAAGACTCGATCTGGGAGTTTGGAATTTTCAGAACAGAAATAGATTCTTAGGCAGTGAAATTAAATGCAATTATTACGTTTAGGTTTCTAATGAATTGAAATTGATATAAATCCAAAACAATGAAATGGAAAAAGAACTACAAACTCTAATCAAATACAAACATTGTTTTGCTGGTGATCCCGAGCTCCGCCGAAGGAAGTAGGATGATGCGCTTCCCATCCCTAGTAAAGGAATACATGTTTTGGAATTTATTGTACCGAGTCCTCCAATCAAACTTCCACGATCTTCCCAACAATAGGTGGTTAGTATTCATATGGATCACGTCGCACCACACTTGGTCTTATAACTGGCCCCCAATTGAAAACTCTACTAAGCATCTCTAGTTGATGCTGATCGGATTCTCCTTTTTTAGCCATGTCAATGAATATGGCTGGGAATGTTTTTTTGAGTCATGAGGCTCAATTTCTCAACCATTTGTGTGGATGCCACATTCTTACTGCTCCCTCCATTGATGATGAGGCTACATACCTTCTTGTTCACGATGTACCAGGTGTAGAATATATTGTGATGAAGCCACTGCGAATCCATCATATCAATATCGGTCTGTAGGATCCGTCGAATTACGAGCGCTTATACTTCATTTGGGGGAAGATGATACACCTCACTCTGGTCCTCAGCTGTCTTCTCATGACTAACTTCCTCCATGGCACCCTGATCTGTGAGGGTGACCACTCGACTTATGGGACAGCTGGAGGCTATGTGGCCGTAGCCATGACACCTGAAACACTTCCTCGTCAGTACTGTATTTGAGGAGCTACTTTTCTCTTATTCCTTCTCACTTTGATCCTACTTGTCACTTCCTTGTTTGGGTTTTGATAGTTCCTTCGGAGGTACCCTTGTCGGTTGTGGTAGCTGTAGGTGACTTCTTGACTAAAGGCTGCCTGAAGGACGATTGCTGCCTGCTTTGTTCGTGTTGTCTTTCCACCTTTAAGGCTAGAGTCTGAATATCTCCAAGTGATGAATAAAGTTGCAGCTGCACCATATTGCTAATAGCTTGCTTTAGGCCCCCCAGATAACAGGCTATGATATGCTCATCTGGCTAGACTAAATCACACCCCATTTGCAACTGATTAAACTGCTCCGTGAACTCCTCTACTGACAAATTCATCTGCTGCAGGTAGTGAAACCTTAGAAACATATCGTGACAGTAATGGGGGGAGGTATTTCCTCTGTATCGCTTTCTTCATGTTTTCCCAGTTGATAATCTTATCGCTTCCTTCGCTTTTTCTATCTCTATAGGTTCTCCTACCACAAAGAGGCACTTTTTTTAACTTGATAGCAGCTAATTTGACCTTCTTATCCTCGGGCAATAAGATAGAAACTGCTACAGGGACAGTAGCACCTACTGCTCCTGAAGGGAAAGTGGCGGTAGGGGCGGTTTTGGCGACTAGATTAGGTTGGACAACAAACACAACGGCTGGAAAAAGGGCGGCTGGCCAACAATAAGCATTAGAGGTGGCCGGTGACTAAGAGAGGGGAAGGAGAAGTGGTAGAGAGGACGATACGAGAGGACCACCTTGGAGTAGGATACAATCAAAGCACCACCTTTCGTCAGATACAACCTCTAGCAAGGGAGAAGGAGACTCCAAGGGGAACTCTAAAAATAGAAAGCAAGCCAAAACTAATGTTAAACAAGCAAAAACAACACATATATAATTGCTAGGATTTAAAATATGAAGGGGAGGCCCTCCTCTTTGGGTGGCAATCAGAAAAGACAAAGGGGAAGAGTTGGCGGCAATGAGAAAGGGCAAGGGGAGGAGTTGGCGGTACTCAGAAAAGGCAAGGAGGCGGGGAAAGGGCGGTAAATCCCTTCCCATACTTCTCCTAGAAGGGCAAGGGGAGGCTGGACCGGTAGCCTCTAGCTGAATGGACTGATTCAGCCCTAAGCCCCTCCCTCCCTTGTTCCCTCCCTGCCTCCCTGTCTATTGCATTTCTGGGAGGCGGAGTCACATGACTTTCCCTCCCTCCCTCCCTTCCTTTCTATTGCATGTGGCTACGCCTGCCTCCCCTCCCTCCCTTTCTATTGCACTTCTGGGAGGCGAAGCCACATGTCTTTGCACAAGGGTTTCTTCCCTCAAATAATGCACTCTCATGTTCCTTTGCCTCCCCTCTAGGTAATAGGATCGGCAAGTGTTGGTTCCCTTGTAACTCTCTCTCTCTCTCTCTCTTACACTTATGGGAAGCGAAGCCACATACATGGCTTTGCACAAGGTTTTCTTTTCTCAGATAATGCACACTCATGTTCCTTTGTCTCCCCTCTAGGTAATAGGATCGATAGAGTTGGTTCAGTTGTATCTCTCTCTCTCTATTGCACTTCTGGGAAGCGAAGCCACATGGCTTTGCACAATGGTTTCTTCCCTCCGACTAGTGTCGGTTCAGTTGTAACCCATTGGCTGCTTCAAAATTTTCCCTTTATAGCAGAACATTACATATTGGCAATAGAGATATTTTGGAATGTCATGACCTTTGTTCTGCCCCCCACTTGTCAAACCCGAACCTTACATTTCACAGACTTCTTTGTCTTACCAATACATGATATTGAAATTATCTTGGGCCTCCAAGGGCTTCAATTTCTTAACAATATTACTTCACCAACTATAGTGTCCTGTTTATTTGTTTTAAATGGAATGGTAACATTGTTGAACTCAAAGGCCAATGACAAAAGAGCATTCATTATGACAAATTCTAAAAATTAGCAAGCACAGGTGCTATCGTGTCTATTTTCATCTTATAACCATTGCATCTTTGGATGACCTTATTATTTCAGTGGTAACTTAAATACCCACTCTAATACAACCTATTTTGGTTGAATTTGACAAACTCAATCGGCATTTCAGTTGGTGTTGTGTGTCTATTTAAGCAATTCTTCTATTGGTGTTCTTTTTTTATTATTCCTACTGGTTTTTTGTCATTGCTCGCTTTTATTTCACTGGATTTTCTTATGGTATATATATTAGTTGACGACTGTTCTTCTGTAATTCCGTCAAGGTTTTTTTCTATGATTTTTTACTACAGTTTCTATTTCATGACGCTTATAAATGTGATTTTGTTATTACAATTCATATTTCATGATGCTTTTGAATATGCACTTTGAGGCATATAAAATGCTTTTGGATTTTTCAAGTCAGGTTTTCCAAATCGATTCCTATTTTTAGACACCCATCAGTATATAGTAGCATATCAAAACATGTCGGGTGACTTTCCTTTGATTCATTATCATCATCAACCTTATCTATGAATCACATAAATTAATTATTTCCGCTATTGGTGCTACAGGTTAGCAATCCTGCAATACAGTTCATGTTGTATGAAACCATGTTGAAAAAATTAAAGAAAAAGCGTGCCTCCAACATGAAAGGTGCTGAAGGGTTAACTGCAGTTGAGGTAGATTTATATGTATCATTTAGTTTACTGAGGATTTTGATCATAGAGAGTGCTGAATGGAGCCATGTTCTTTTCGTGTTATACTGATGTTTAAATTTTCATTTATTTTTTCCGAATAATAGACTATATTAGCAACTTAGTTTTATTTACAGTTTTAACCCTTCAGATAGCAATTTTAAAATTCTTTCTTTATATTTTACTGCCACGCTTATTTGTGAGCCGTTGTATTGTGCTGCTGAGCTATTAGATATTTCTTCTTGGAGCTGTCGCCAAGCTTGGAGCCACTGTTGCAACATATCCCCTTCTTGTTGTCAAAGTATGTAAACTCTTGTTGTTCTATGCTTTTATTATCTCTGTCCAAGGTGATTTATTTACTGTTGGAATTTTATTCTTTTGTTGGTTTTATAGTTTGATAATCCTTACACTCCATCTTCGTGCAGTCAAGGCTTCAAGCAAAACAGGGCGTTCATATAGATAAGAGGCATCATTACCAAGGTCAGAGATCCTTATGACTTAGGAGTTGTTTGGTTTGCTAGAAAGGAATGCAGTATAAATAGAATAACTGTAATTGAAATATAGTGTATTTGAAATGCTTTGAAGTTTTTTTTATTTTTTTTCTAGTAAATATAGGAATTTACATTTTTGTATTTGAATTTAAGAAGAATAAAATCAATGTAATACATATTCTGTGATAGCGGTGAGAGGGAGGGCAACCAGTGATGGTGGGCTGTGGAGAGAGAGTGTTTGCAGAGGGTGGGTAGGCGGGCAGGTGGGTAGGGGGATGGGGATTATTTGCGGTGGGCGGCTGATGTGCGACGATGACAAGAACAACAAGCTGCAATTTGCATTATATTTGAAAATCACCCAAATCTAACAAATTAGGAATACCCCAGTTTTGTATTGCAGCATGACTTATAAATTTACCAAAATTTTACGCTCATTTCCATCAAACCAAACACCAGAATTTTGAAATCCTTTGCATTTGATTTACTTTACATCACTAATACAGGTAACCAACCAACCCTAACTAAAATATTTATCTTTTTATTATATAGGAACAATTGCAAGTATCTACATTTTTCTTTCACTGTTTACAATTTCTTTTCCTTTAGTTTCACTATTCATTTATACTTTTATTGCTTTCAGAAATTTAAAATATTCATCGTTTATCTCTATGGTGTCATATATCCAAATAAAATATATCAACTTATTGTTAAAATTTGATATGCTATTTGGATTTTTTTCTTGTGTAAGGTACTTGGGATGCAATAACAAAGATGATCAGATACGAAGGTCTTTTTCAATTCTACAATGGCATGGGCACAAAGATTGTCCAGAGTGTTTTTGCTGCTGCTTTCCTCTTCGTGATTAAGGAGGAACTTGTGAGAATGTCTAGATTTCTGCTCACACGTACTAATAGTTCAAGATTGGAACCACCCCGGCCATAACTGGTTCCACTTCTTTTCCCCTGCTAATTTTACTTTCTTTTAGAAGCATAGAAGTTCCAGTTCTTGCTGCCTTGGTGTTAATGTTCCTGGAAGCATCTTTACCGGCTTATTTATCAGTGTTTTACACTAAAAAAACTGTAATTGAAATCTTCACTGTATTCAATAATTGTTGACAATAGTAGGAAATTATACAAGTTGTAAGTCAGATCTGCTTTAGCCAAGTCTGGCGTTTAGTCGATTTGTAACAGCTTCATATGGAGACTCTTGTTATGAGAATAGGAATTATAGATAATTTTAGCTGGAGATTAAATGCTTTTGTAGGTTTTGGAGTAATTTTGGTTTTGGTGGCTATTTAGAGAGTGTTGTTGGATTTTTAGATTCATGTGGTTTTTTTCGTATGTTGGCATCTTTGAAGTAGAGAGCATACTGACAAATGAAGCACAAGATAATCATATTAAAGAGCAAAAGTCTTAGTGCTATTGAAGGATAAGCCATTTATAGATGAAACATGGCTTATTAGTTATTAGAGTTGACTTGAGGAAGGTTGCACCAAATCTTGTGAAGGACTACCCCAGTTTTAACTCTTGAAAGAAGAGTTCTTTAATGGCTAAGGGAAATAATGCATCATAGGTATGAATGTGATATTTGTGAATTATGTGTTATTTTAGCAGCCTTAGATCCACAAATAAGTGCATACTGGCGTGTTATCTTGTGGGTGCGCACAATAAGTGATTAAAAGAGAAAAAGAATATGCAAAATTATCTCATCGAACTTGGTAATTAGTGGCAAATTCAGCATAATAGGGAGCAGATTGGCACTTCGGCATTCGACTTGGTTCCTAGATGCCACCTCTGTGCCCAAATACATAGCCAAAGCATCGTAGCGCCGTCCGGGAGGCCCACAAACCAAAAGTCTAGCACCAAGGCACCAAATACTAGCACCACCCAGGTGCCAGGCCAGCGCCAAAATGCCACTTCAAGCACCCAGTCAACAACGTGTGGACTCAATAATAGAGTTTTCAGTTCCCAACCACCAAATTTACCCGGCCAAGTGCCAACCCAGTGATAAAGTCTGGGAGGTTGTCCCCTAATTATGTACATGAGATTATTTTAGTTCCCAAGTTTATAAAAATGTTGAATTAATCTTCTTGTTTTTGGTGGGATTAAATTGATTTTTTAGCTAAAGACTCAAGAGACCACTCCAGCATTTTTCTCGTTTAGGATTCAAATTTCACTATCTAGTAATATGACACATCATAATATAAATTAGCATAAAATTTAAATTAGTTTCATTATCTTTGTTTGGCTTGTTAAGTAGCTCATGCTCGAATCATTCTTTAAGCAAGCAAGCCGAACACGAATGAAATTTTTAAGCTTGACTTATAAATGAGCCTCGCGGGTGGTCCTATTTGTGCGTGCTCATGTAAATTAGAGGACACACATGTGTGTGTCTCTTGATATATATATATGAGAGGGAGGGCA